GGCTCAGAAAACATTCTCTGAATAGTGTTCACATAATAGCTACTTGGTACTGTGTCTATTTGTGTGAGAAGACAATGATGATATTTTAGAATTATAACAAAACAGCTCTTCTTAAGTACATCCTTTTAGAAAAACTGGCTGTATTTGTCTTGCTCAAAATCTCAGCCCAAAAGCTTTTATTATTGTTAAGTCAAGCTCTTACCCAACTAATGATTAGTAGAAATATTTCTGGAACTTTGTTTTGACTTTATTGCCAGTCATATTTGATTTTAAACATAAATGTTCTCAGATTTGTTTCATCCTTGTTCCTTTTCTCTTCCTCCCTTCTGTGGCTGTCTTTGGTGATTGTGTTGATTTCCACCCATTCCTTAATTCTTCTTTCTGCATAGCATTTTCTGCACCCAGATGTTTATGTACTAAAACAGATTGTGGTCTTTGCCTTTTTCCTGGGTAACACTGTGACATCTGTATTTTGTTTTTTGCTGCTGTTTTTGCTTTCAAGTGTGTGCTGCCATCTATGGAGTAATCATAGAAATAAAGCTGGTATAAAAAAGGTGTTTTATCAGAAGATCATGGAAAGCAAGATCTAGATAGTGGAGGAGGTATAGTAGAGCAGTTGGTCAGATCTCCAGAAATCCTGTTTCTCTGTAGTCCCAGGTCTCACAGCAAGCATGGGTGAAAGTACATCTTTTAGAAAATCAATGATTTCTAGTAATGAAATTATTCAGTTGATTTCTTTAAATCAAAGTAAGTTTGCTTTGTCCTTCAATCTGGTAACTCATTCCTTTTTCTTTTCCTTCCCTGTTACCTTTCACATGTCCTAGTTATTCAGCAGTTTCCAAGATCTGTTTACTACATCTTTCTTAATTTGTTTTTCAAAGCTTAATTTTAATTCCTTATCCTTCCCCAGCATCTTGTTAACTGGCTTTATGCCTCTCCTCAGTGTTTAGCTTCAGCCTGATAAGTTCCAGGTTTCCCTCCTTCAGATCTCTTCAGAATGCATTACTGAAGATTAGTCCCCATTCTGTCTCTCTTTCATAACATTTTGTTCCTTGATATCTATTTTAGAGTGTACATTTATTGCAACACATCTATTCAAGATGGTCTGAAAAGCACTAGGAGAAGTAATTTTCTCTGTGCTGGGGCATCCATACACGTAGGGAAGCTGCCACTTTTGTCTGGATGCTGTTCATGTGTGTTCAGCTTGCAGATTTCTGACTAAGGATTGTAGCATCTCACAACCTTGAATCGGGTTAGGTGTATGAATTCCTGGCAATCAGACTTCTATTCATTTCAGCTGGCTGTGGCAAATAACAACTATGTCTCTAGGTCTTTCCTCAGCAAAAAAGAGTGTTGGAGTGGGTGTATATTATTTAACCACTACTTCTTAAATGCTTTCTTATAACACAAGGCATTAGAATCAAAAGGAAAAGTTTAGCCTATGTGGATAAAGCATTCTTAAAAAAATCTTCTGACATTTTCTTCTTATTGCTGAACTCAAAAAATTGATCTTATTTTCCAGCATCAAAACAAAATGAAGGAAAAAAATCGATGCTGAAGATTGATCAATGTTTTTCAAAACTGACTTAATAAGATAAAAATCAATGTGGCTGTATTATTTGTCATTCTTTCATTACCAGGAACATTCAAACATGGTAATATTTGATTCTTAAGTTAAATGTGAAAATATTTCAGTTACCTCCTACAGAGGCAAAAAAAATATAACGAGGGATTTATTTAGTCGAAGTTCAGTTTTCTTTTTAAACCTAGTTTTGGAAATTTGAGTTCTGCAGAAATTGAAAACAGTTTGATATTTTAAGTGACAGTATATAATTATTCCTTTAATCACACAGACTTAAATAGAACAAATTATTACTTGTATTTGCAAATTAAAAGCTCTGATCCTCCCTTCCTCCTGCAAATATCAGTTCCATCTTGCTTGGTTGAGAGATCTTTACTCAAAAAATTGGAAATAAGCTTGGGAAATGAATTTCCCTCATGGCAGGTTCACACTGCTTTGAATTGAGAGCTTTACTGTACAAATGCACTGGCTGATTAATGTTTTTGGCAAAAATGAATTGTTTATATGCAATTTGTTTGTTTGTTTGTATTTTTCCAACATTCATTTCCCTTTTCTGCTCCTGCTATCCCCAGTAATGTTAAGATCCCTTATTGATTTATTTAAAGAAAAGCCTTAGAAACGGATTTCTGTTATATTATTGAACCAATCCCTAAAACATAAGTTTGGCCTGACAGTTGAGAGGGTTTTTTTAAAAAAAATTATTTTCATTTCAGTATTCTCATTCACTTACCTGCTGACTTGGGTTTAGCCATTTGGGCTCCCTCTTTGAAATTCCTCTTAACAGCTGAGTGGTAGAAAATGTCCTTTTAGGGAAGAAAATCATTGTGCTCACATAATCAATGGAATGTGTGAACTAGGATTTTCATGAAGTATCAGATATTGAAAGACTCCTGATAAAATCCGATATATTGGTGAGCCTCTGGCGTTGGCATCTTCTGTTTTAAAGATTTATTTCATGAGCACAGAAAGACAGCTATCTGCATAAATTCCTACTGAATTGATTCCCTATCTGCAAGCTGGGGCAGAATGTCATAAAATAGCAAATGCAAACCTGGTATTCGTTAGACAGAAACTTTGAGAATATGGAATTTACCAAGTTCTCTGTGGGGCCAGCTACTTTCTCATCTGCTTTTCATATTCCCTTCCTGATTGATTAATATGGAGAGTTTGCTCCTCTCCTCCAGTAGCTCTGAGCAGCAATTTGAGCATTCATTGGGCTCAGACAGTCCCACCCCTTCATCTCTCACTCATCATCAGCTTCATTATCCACAATATCTGTAATCACACAATGAGAGAGCTTCTACTTGCTGCTCTCCTCATCCTTTCCTCCTCCCTCCATGCTGTGAGGGAGAGGTGCCATGGCATATTGCACAGCTAAAAGCTTATCAAGCCTGAATTTGTTACACCTCTGAATTTGGCAGGCAGGCATTCACAACCACTACACATATACATGGCTCAACACCACGTGAAGCTGGACACCCTGAGAAGACAGATAGGATTGGATTGGTTTTCTCATTGCTCTGCAAAAAATCAAATAGACTTAAGCTATACAATCTGATATTCCCTAATTGACAGCTTTTCCAAGGTTCATTTGTTAACTGAGAGCATGACATGTATTGAAGTTGTTTCTTCATAATGCATTTGGCATTAACAGGAGAAGCTGCTGAATGCCTCAGACATCAATGTCTCAGCAATAAGATATTTTGCTACAGTTTTGACTTTCTAACTAGTGACTGTGTATTTGCAAGAGCATGTGAAATGAGCGTAGGACAGGGCAGGAGAAAAAGCTTAAAAATGCATTCTCCTAAGAAAATTTGTGGGACTATTTTTGCTGCTTGGGACATTTAGTTGACTTTTATGGTTCAACTGTTTTTCATTTATCTTGCTTAACAAAGTGTTCACTGAATAATCATTGGACTTCAGTCCATATATTTATAAATAGGCACATCTCATTTTATTTATAGTGATGAAGATTTTGTGTGTAAAAGACGTGCTCAAGAGTTTTGCTTGCCTGCATCTACAGGAGAATAAAATAAAATGAAAAAAAATCCTCTGTTTCAAAGAAGCTTCTCCCACATGAAGGCCAGGCTGATTTGAAGGAATAAATTTTCTGTGTAGAAGAGACCAGAGGATGATTTCTCCACTGATCTTGTCACTACTTTTTATTTGCTGCTTTCTTGTAGCTAGTTTCTGTCACCATGATATTTTCTGAAAAATCCCTTTGCCAGGATTTTTCTCCTGAGAAGCTGAGAAGCCTTAGAGGAAAAAAACCCCCAATAATTATCTGCTGCTGTGGAATGCAACAGGTGCATCTCTGATTGGTCCATGTTGGTTGTTTTTAATTAATGGCCAATCACAGTCAGCTGGCTTGGACTCTCTCAGAGTCATGAGCTTTTGTTATTCATTTTCCTTTCTATTCCTTGCTAGCCTTCTGATGAAATCTTTCTTCTATTCTTTTAGTGTAGTTCTAATATATCATTTTCTTTTAATATAATATATATCATAAAATAATAAATCAGCCTTCTGAAACATGGGGTCAAGATTCTCATCTCTTCCCTTGTCCTGGGACCCCTGCAAACACCACCACAAGTTTCCACAAACACTTTCTTATTTTCTTAGAACACAGATTCTACTAGAACTGTAACACTCAGCACTTTTCATTCTGTTAAAGATTTCCAGTTTCTACTCTTCCTTGTAACAGTTCATGGGATGTTCACATAGGAGCTGTAAGTGCTAATGAAGAGATTTATCACAAATATATGATCATTAATAGCTGTTGCTTCTCCTGCATCCCATGAATGTTTTACTTACTAGATGAATTTATCTTGGATGTAAAAAAATGTTTTAATTTCATTTTTTTTTCATTATTTATTGTAAGCAGGTTACTCTAAATATTTAGGTTCATTTCTCTAGCACCTAGTTAAATTTTTGCATGTATTCCTCCTTCTGGGTAGAGAACATGCCTGGAGAAGTACATGAAATTTTACAGATGTTGTCAAAATAATTGAAGCATTTCAGTGAAGCTTTGACTAGCACTGTTTAGGAAGTGAAACACAGCTGTTTAGATGAGGAAAAAATGTGGGAATGGATCAGGATGCCTTCATTTCACAGGAATAAAGAGCCTAGGTTTGACAGAATGACCTGTTCAAATAATGCCAGGTAAGAATGAGCAAAGCTAGATTCTGCTTAGAAAAGCCTAGAAACAGACTTTTGAAAGCCCTAAGGTCTGGAACCTAAGCACACACCTCTCCTCCCTCTGTAAACATCAAGGTTCTGACTTCCTGCTGCAACCAAATATTCCTGAGCCCTTGGGGGACATTCTGGGGCTGTCCCCAAGCACCTCCCCTTTTGTTTGCATCGTCTGGGATCAAATGCCATTTGGGCAGGCACTGACAGCAGAAACACTTCTGTCTTGCAGGGCAAGCACAAGTTGCACGTGGACACAGGCCTGGAGGGCCCCTGGTGCGGCCTCATCCCCATCGGGAGCTCCTGCGAGAGTGTGACCACCACGGGCCTCAGGTGGAACCTCAGTAAGTGGGATGCCTGTGGGACAGGGGCTCTGCTCTGCTCCTCACCCTGCCTTTGGAGTGCCTTTCACCAGTCATGAAGGGCCTTACAAGTGTGAAGGTGAAGCATGGCATTGAATCCCTGCCAGGCCATTTTTTTTCCTAGAAATGAAGGGGTTTTACAAAAATAAAAGCTAGAGAAATACGTTTAAACCTGTGATCTCACAGGCAGAAACACATTTTCCATTTGGGAGTCATTGTGCTCTTCAAACAGAACATTTGTTGAGGTCATGATACATTACCGTCTTGATACATTGCCCTCCAGGGAGAAGAAGCCATGAGTGTCTAAACTCCTGCTTATAAGCCATAAAGATACAACAGACAAATACTAACGGGATACAGATTAGCAAAGCTACCTCACTTCGACTGAACTGCTTCGTGTATATTGTCTATGTCTCAACCCTGAATGAATAGATCCTTTTTCTTACTTTCAAGTGGAAAAGAGTCCATTTGATCTAGAACAGGGACATTTATCTGTAGAGATAGGAGGTTTTATAACCCAAAGAATCAAACCAACTTTCATCCTCCTGCCTCTTCTTCCCACACGGAGTCATTTGGGATGCATTTACACAGGGAAGTAATGAGATATTTTCAATGAACATTCATTAAAACTTAAGTGGGAGCAAAGCAGTAATGGAGAGGCTCTAGTCTCAGTCTGATTGACATGTCCAGGCTTTAAAGCCATTCCATGCAGAAAGGGCATGCTGTTCTCACAATTTGCAGTGCAGTGCCTTCACTGGCCAAGAATTACTGTGAGTGACCCACTGTGCCAGCCAGCAGAACATCTGCTAGTTCCACTGAGAGCTTGAGCACGTGCAGTTAAGGTTGTGGTAGGCATTAGTAGCTCATTAACTATAAAATATATAAATATGGCATTAGTTTTGGATTGTGGGAGAATTGCCAGATGAAGGGCTGTCTGGCTAGCAACATTTCTGTCCTTTTAAACTGGATTGGAAAAGCTGAATATATTGCATGGGAGACATTCCCTTAATTTGAAAAAGAGTCAGATATTTTCATTTGTATGTATAAATACGGTTGACATATATGATACTGAATTTTCATCTTCTCATCTCTGTTGTCCAGCAACTGCAGTGACTCATTGCACTGAGGTACTAATTTCTCAGAAAATGTTCTCTCCTTCAGAATGAGGTAGAAGAAGCTCAAGATTGCCTCATGTTAATGAAGGAAGCATCTCTGAATCCTGTGTTGTATTGTAAAAGGCTACTGTGTGGATCAAAATGTGGTAGATGCAATGAGGTTGCAGCCCTTTCTTCTGATTTTTATTAGTTGAAAAAGCCATTTTTCAGATACAACAGAATTTTTTCAGCTTAATTCCGTAAATTTCCTCAGATTTGCAAGTTGCTCATTAGAAAGTTGGTGATTTTAAAGATGGTCTGTCTGGTCTGTTTCTTTGTTACTATTGAGTTATGATTGCCTGATCTGCTAAAGCTAAAGAGAAAGGGATTGCAAGTCAGCTGTGCCAGCTGGAGGAGGATGCAGGGGGGAGATAAAATGGAGCAAATATTTTTTCTCTCTAGAGTTGGGTTGAGATATCAGATTCTTAAACATTGGTCATAACTGCGTATGGACCCACCAGGATTTTGATACTGTTAATTCCATCTCTTTTTTTTGTTTGTTTGTTTTTCTGGGGGACAAAAAAGTATTTATGTGACTGTTTCCTGCTTGTTTCATCTTAACACCATCATCTCTGCTTCTCCCTGTCCTTGTTACTGTTCTTTTCCTGGAGGAAAGAGAGCAGACCTTTACAGTGTTTTTGTTAGTGATGTATACATTGCATCCTGTTACAGTCTGTTTTCAGTCTCAGTAGTCATGTTTCTCCCAGGTTGTAGTTCTTTCATTCATTTCTCCATATTAATCACAGATATCTATGTAAAACCAAAAAATGAGCTGGTCTTCCTTGAAGAGCCTCAATCTATCTGAGACATAAAGACCATTACAACCTGAAACTGCTCTCTTACCCAAGCCACTAAAGCTAACCTTTTCACTCATCCAAATGCAGAATAACCATTGAACTAGGTTATTGTTCAGACACTGATTAAAAAATTGAAGTGCAATTACATTTCCCAAAAGTGAAACCAGTATCTCCAATACAGCATGTGGTTAGTTGTGACTTGGTTGGATTTTTTTTCCCTAATAAATAGGATTTACATTCTGATAGTTAAAGTTTGATGCTAACTTCCATTGTGTTACTGGACTTCTATGCTGCCTGCAGTTTTGCACTTACTTCAAAAAATATTAATCCTCCTGTAAATTGGGATGGAGAAGCAGAGGATCAAGTGGGAGGAAATAGAATAATAAGAATGGAAACTGAAGTGTGATATGGATGTCAGCCTTGCTGCTAAGGGCTGGCAATGGCAGAGCTTTACCTGTTCATTCATTAACAGCAATCTGAGCACACACCTTTGTAAACCTCCGAGTAAAAATATTGCAAACCTCAGTGAATAATTTTTTGTGGTTATAAATTCATTTTCATGTGTAAATCATAAAAGGAATTAAATTTTTAAGCCGAGCATGACATGAAAGGCCTATTCCTCAAGTTTGTTATGGAATTAATTGGATGTGACCTAACAAGTTGGGTTTTAAAAAGCAATTTTTGAGCTCTCAGGATATTTAGGTATCTGGGCAGTAAACTAATTTCGGAATTTTAGTTCAAACAGTGATGCATTATGTGGTAGGGAAGCCCTCATTTTTCAAACAGTAATTTCTAGCAAATCAAAAATCAAATAACACTGCAGTACAAGAAAGAGCTGGCTTTGCATCAAGGTTTTTGATGTTTAACATCATTTTCTGCCTGAGCATATCTAGATTACTCTGCCAATTAAAATTTTTAAAGCCTTCAAGGGGTAGTCAAACCTTATCTCTTTCCAGTGTACAGATTCTGTCATGATACTTCATAGGTTCTGAATGGAAAAAGACAAGGATAAATACCTAGGACAAAAGCTATAATCAGGTTAAGAATAATCTACCAAAGGTCTCATTTCAGTGGCTGAATTAGATAAACCCAAAATCTTTAAATTATTCTGCTAGCAGAGAAACAATGATGGCTTTTAATAGTACAGAATTCAGTAATTTTTGTATGTCTGTTTGAGAATGCAGCATGTATGCGTGCTTTTGTGCATGCTTATCTTCGTTATTTGCTAGCACTTGCCACAAACAGAATTTTCATTTATTTGAGTTCTCATCTTATGGGTGAAAGAACTTGGAGAAGAAAGTGGAAAATTGATTAGAAAAAATATTTTTATTCATGCTTGCTATTGTGTGACACATACTCAGAACACATTATAAACATATTCTTTCCATTCCCAAAAGGATACTGATCTTTTCTCTATTAAAATCTGATTTACAGCACAGGAATCAGATAATGCTTTGTCTGATTTGACTCACCTGACTGCTTGCTGATAACAGCTCTCATGTCTAATAAATAAATAACAAAAAATCTAATAATGCCAGAACTACCAGCATTCTTCATTAGGTCCTCAGTGGTGCTTTCATGGAAAGTAAATAAAAATGAAGGCAGAAATCAGCTGCAGTGCTCATCAAAGAAGAGGTTGGAGGGTAATGGTAGGCTTTTTTAGGAGATGATTCCTTTTCTGTGAAATTACTTTAGAAAATAATCTTGCCAAGTAATTTATTCTTCATCCTTATGGCCTTTGGTAGTGCTGTATGTGATGCCTGTACTGAAAATGCCAGCATATATGTGTGTGTATGTATGTGTGTGTGTGTGTATGTATCTATATCAACCTACCTATTTATCTGTGTAAACTCGGTGTATATGTGATTGTGCTTTCCAGATAATTTTCATGCCAGTTTGCCTTCCTTAGGCAGGAAGTTAAATTGCTGTAAAATGCTGCCATTCAAAAGAGTGCCACTGTCATTTCACTTCAAAAGGCAATAGCAATAACAATGGGAGCAAGGCCTTTCTCTAACAGAGCATCCACTGACTGCTAATGTCACAGGTAGATGAACAGGATCCCAAATATTTTTGATGCTGCTTACATTGTTAGTAAAATTGAAATATTTGCATTATTTTATACTTCACTGGGGTTTTATTGATGTTGCATTGTGAATTGAGCAAAAAGTTTACAAAAGCTGTTGTGGTTTGTGTTTTCGGAGAATTCATAGTCTAAAAGATGAAAGAAAATTAGTAACTTCTTTTAAAAAAGAAAAAAAAGAGGGTCGGGGCTGTTCTGGGAAAGGTTGTAAATTAAAATGGGCAGGTATCTGTGCTAGTGAGGCTGTTTGTATAAGCACTCTCTAGCCTGTTTCATAACTGAAATAGTTTATATCACACATTTTGCTACCCCAGTTCTGAGTGAGGCAAACTAAGTGGTGCTTCTGGGAATAGCTTTGTTTTCAGTGGCAGAGTAAATAGCTTCACAGCTGGATTCCCATTCTCCTCAGCTTTCCTCTCTTTCCCTCCCTTCCCTTGTTCTTTACTGGCAGAAGATATATTATCAGTGATGTATTTTTTCACTTATCCATTGCAGCATGAAGACTCTGGGTAGGGGTGGAGTGGACAGAAATGATGCTGCTGGTCCCAAAGCATTGGGTGGCTTTGACCTTTGGCAAGCTGTTTGCCCCCAGGAGTGCTGCTGTCAGCCTGCCAGGGTCATATCATTTATTACAAGGCATGGCCTGCTGAAATCCTTTTCCAATGGAGCAGATGTTCTGATGGTGGTAGCCTGGCATCCCACTGGCTTACTGCAAGTCAGCAAAAACAACGAGGGCCTTGCTTAGCATTGCATAAAATTATTTTGAACCACAAAGACCATTTGGTGTACATTAAATGACTGATGAACACAGAGCTCAGTTGTGCTGGGCCTCTAAGCCTGTATTTGCATTTTTTGCTGAACAGCAGCTTGAAAACTCAGTCAGACTTTGTGAAAAGGCTTGAAATGGGGATTTGAGGTCACACATTCAATTCATTTCCACATGGTTCAATA